AGGAGGGGGAAGAAGAAGAAGAAGAAGAGCAGGAGGAGGAGGAAGGAGAAGAATAAGTCCCTTTAACATGGGAGGATCAGTTTTAGAACCGTCCAAATAGGCTTTGCATGAAAAGCTTGCCTCATTTGAGCCCAAAACAAAGCAAATATGTACTTGCACTTTGGAACGAATTGATCCAGAGGATCTCATTCACTACTCATTAGCAAAGCCGCTGGGCTCTTTTAAGAAAATGGCAAACCACATCTTCGTCCTTCTCATTTGTCTCCTGGTGGACTCGTTTCTCTTCTCTGAATGTGCAGGTCAGTTCATATTATTATTATTATTATTATTATTATTATTATTATTATTATTATTATTATTATTTATACCCCACTTTACCTCCCCCGAAGAGTACTCAAAACAGCTTAACATAAAAACATCAGCATAGCAATTGAAAAAAACATGCAAATACATGAACATTAAAACATGATTAAATACGAATAACCAGTACTAAAAAAAAATCCCAGTTAAAAACCATTCAAAAACATTCAAAGTTTTAAAATGCATAAGCCCTCTATGTTTCTTCTGGTGTGTGTTTTGTCATCTGATAAGGAATCAATCATTTACAGGCAACGTGATTTTGTTGATTGTGAGTCCTTTTGCTATAGATGTAAAAGAAATCCAGGTTGCTGGATGAGTAGCATGCATGTGAGAGCCGTTCAGCAGTGGAACTCTCTGCCCCGGACTGTGGTGGAGGCTCCTTCTTTGGAAGCTTTTAAACAGAGGCTGGATGGCCATCTGTCAGGGGTGATTTGAATGCAATATTCCTGCTTCTTGGCAGAATGGGGTTGGACTGGATGGCCCATGAGGTCTCTTCCAACTCTTTGATTCTATGATTCTATGATTTGTCCACTTTTTTCAGGCCAAGAGACAATCCAATCTATAATATGTAAATTAGATAGATAATACATGGATAGAAAGATAGATAGAGATAGATACTGTATATAAAAAAAACTCTAAAATTACAACAGCACAACAGAGAGGAAACAACCAAGGACATCTAATCACCTCTCAACAAAAGATTGCTCCAAGCACTGACAGGCAATCAAATGCTAATCAAGGTGATCAGTTGAAACATTCACACCTAGCTCCAGCAGACAAGAGTCCTTTGTCCCACCCTGGTCATTCCACAGATATATAAACCCTTTTTCCTAGTTCCAACAGACCTCACTACCTCTGAGGATGCTTGCCATAGATGCAGGCGAAACGTCAGGAGAAAATGCCTCTAGAACATGGCCATATAGCCCGAAAAAGTCTACAACAACCCAGTGATTCCGGCCATGAAAGCCTTCGACAAAGCTGGAATGTGTCCAGAGGAGGGCGACTAAAATGATCAAGGGTCTGGAGAACAAGCCCTATGAGGAGCGGCTTAAGGAGGTGGGCATGTTTAGCCTGAAGAAGAGAAAGCTGAGAGGAGATATGATAGTCATGCATAAATATTAGGCTTGGGCGGTTTAGTTCGTTAATTTTGTAATTCGTTATTAATTCATATTTAAATTAGCTTACGATCCAATATTGAGCCATGCAGGACTACTGTGAGGAGTAATTAAAAATCGAAACAATTTCGTATTGTTTCGTAATTGGTTCAAAATTGTTTCAAAATTGTTTCGTAATTGTTTCGTAATTATTTTTGTATGTCTGGTGCAAGTTTTATAGTCGTTGTTTGTTTTATCAGTGATAAAAAATAAATTATCACACCAACAGTCAACAACAGAGGGAGAGGGAAGCTTCAGAAGTTCCCCCTGTCCCATTTGGAGGGGTTTTTAGCATATTGCGCAATCGCGTCCGCCATTAATGAATCGATTTGTAATTTTACGAAATTTCGTATATTTCAAACTTTTTTAAAGGAAAATTTCGGAATTCTTTAAAAAACGAAACGCAAGGGCCCCCTAAAAACGAAACGAGTTTAGAACCAATTTTTTCCGTGGTTACCCAAGCCTAATAAATATGTGAGAGGAAGCCACAGGGAGGAGGGAGCAAGCTTGTTTTCTGCTTCCCTGGAGACTAGGATGCAAAACAATGGCTTCAAACTACAAGAGAGGAGATTCCATCTGAACATTAGGAAGAACTTCCTGACTGTCTCTTCCAACTCTTTGATTCTATGATTCTATGAAAGCAGGCCATGGTCGAGGAAGCCAAAGCGTTCCTCCTGACACCATTTTCTAAGCCAGTTATTGACCTGTACTATTGTCCTGGCCCTTGTAGGACCGTGTCTTACAACTGGGAGGAGGGATGAAAAGACCACCTGTACATTACATTGTTTTATCTTTATTCCGAGAGCTCGAAAATCATTTATGATCTTTTGAAAAGTATCATTGGTTCCTACATGAATCAACATGAGGGGAGGACGGTAATGAGGCTTGAGGAGCCTGGTGAGCATCTGAGTGATATGGTGTATTTTTGCCCCCAGTAGGCAGCATATTTCCCAAGCTATCCCATCTGGTCTGGAAATGACGACTTCCGCTTCTCTAAGGAAGGAGTCGCCTACTACCAAGACTTGTTTACTTTCAGGATTGACAGGGTTCCTTTTGTGCAATGTAGTGCGTAGGTCCTCAGAAAAGTGATCCTGTTGATGTGAATTGTGTAGTGTAAAGTGTTGTCATCCTCCTCGACATCCCCGGTGCATTCGTCAAGGACAATCCATTGAGATTCGTCCAAGAGCCTATCGTTCTCCTGTATGTGTTCCTGTTGCACCTGGTCTATGGTTGGGGATGGTATACCCACATGACAGTGTAAGTGTGAATGTTGTGAAGTAGGGCTGGGCAACCACGGAAAAAATTGTTTCTAAACTCGATTCGTTTTTAGGGGGTTTTTGCGTTTCAATTTTTAAAAGAATTCCGAAAATTTTCTTTAAAAAAGTTCAAAATTTACGAAATTTCGGAAATTACGAAACAATTACGAAACAATTACGAATCGATTCGTTAATGGCGGACGCGACCGCGCAATACGCTAAAAAAAACCTCCAAATGGGACAGGGGGAACTTCTGAAGCTTCCCTCTCCCTCTGTTGTTGACTGTTGGTGTGATAATTATATTTTTTTTCACTGATAAAACAAACAACAACTATAAAACTTGCACCAGACATGCGGAAATAATAACGAAACGATTTCGAAACGATTTCGAAACAATTTCGAAACAATTACGAAACAATTACGAAACGAATTGAAAAATTCGTTTCGATTTTTAGTTGCTCCTGAATGGTTCAATATCGCTTCGTTATAAAAAAAACGAATTAATAACGAATTACGAAATTAACGAACGAAACCGCCCAGCCCTATTGTGAAGTGTTGTCCCAGTCAGGGCTATCCTCCGCACACTGATCAAGGATGAGCCACTGATCAGTATCTAAGCCATTCTGGTCTTCCCCAATATGTTGTGTTTCTTGGTCAAGGGATAGTTGTGTGAGAATTTGGAATTTATTGTGTAACTGCAGCTGAGCAGAAGTATTCTGAGGAGGCTTCCGGGTCCTATGGTCTCTTTCTAAGGGTAACATTCCCCCAAGCCTGAGAGTTGTCCACAAATGAGGTGATCTCCTCTTGAGCCTCCCCATAATGTTGGTGTGATATGGGTTGCATGTCTAGGATAGTGTGCTGTGTGGTGTCTAAGAACAGCTCAAGTTCCTGAACGTCTTTAACGGTCTTAATACAGTCCTCGAGTTGTTGGATCCTCTGTTCCATGTGAGTGATCTGTTTACACTTGTGGCAGATGTAATTGAGTAACTGTTGTGTGAAAAAACTGAACATGCCACAGCTTGTGCATGAGACAGGAAGATTTTGTGTTCATTCCATCTGCAGGCTGCTAATGACCTCTTTGTGTGTGTTTTATGTTGTTGTCTGTATGCAGGGGGGCAGTGTAGGTTAGTGAGTGTGTGAGACCCTGGCTTATATAGGTAAACAGGAAGCAACAATGACTCACTCTGAGAACAAATCTAATTGCTGCCCTGCACTGCTGGCTAAAAGAATGTAGCCTCGCCCCGCTTCTCAAACAAAGCAACACTCACAGCAACAGCTAATTTTAAACACTTACTCAGATTCCTAGTGCCCTCTAAGACAAAGCTTACCTGAAGTAGCAGAAGGGAACAAAATGGCTTCTTGCTTCCTCAACTTCTGTGGGAGCACAACTGCCCTTTGAGTTCAGGCCCTGGCTTATATAGGGTAAACAGGAAGCAGCAATGGAATCAGTGCACAAGTCTAGTCTTTAGCCTTTAAACAGTGCCAGTGCCTCACCAAACTACAATGATTCCATAGCACTGAACCACAGCAGTTAAAGTCTGCATTAATCCTACAGTGTAGGGTGCACCCTAACAAATCATAGCAAAATAATTACCAAATCAAAATGGTCTTCTCTTATTCTGAATAACTTCCTTCCACCCTGAAGTTTTTATCAATCCAGATGAGGCGAGCAACGTTTTGCAGCGATATAAAAGGTACAACACCGGGAGGCTGGAAGAGTTTGTCCAAGGAAACCTGGAGCGCGAATGCATAGAGGAAACATGCAGCTACGAGGAAGCGAGAGAAGTCTTCGAGAATGAGGAGAAAACGGTGAGACAATTCCTGGAATACAAAACCTAGGTCTGGGAAGACTTCCAAATTGGGTCTTTGATGGAGGAGGGTTACTAGAATGCCATGGCTGACTCAAATAGACAAAACAATGGTGGCTTCAAAGATGGCATCACTTCTCTATTGAACCATGTCATGAGCCAGAGCAGAAGAGAAAACGTTGAAGGAGCTGGGCTGTTGTGTGTCTCCTATTCAGCCTATGATTGTGTCTGATGTTCATGATGGAAACTGGGATGATGTTCCTGATAGTGGGCCTGGGTCTTGTTTGCAGTGGGGATGAAGGTTTGCCTGGGCCTGAGTTAAGCTCAGACGAGAGGCCCAAGCTGTCTCAGTGTTGTGACTCAGCTGGAATCACAGAGTGATAGTGTCAATGATTCTGATGAGGATGGTGGGATTCAGGTTCACAGTCAGGTACAAAGCGATATCCCTGTGATAGATGAGGAAGAACAGGGTACAGAAGTTCAGTTGTTTCCCACAGCAAGGGATGACGCTGTTGATAATGGAACTACTGAGAGCCAGGTGGATTCTGATTCAGGAAGGGAGGACAGTTGTTCTCAGCAAGATAATGAGCCAAAAAGCACTAATGAACAGATTGACCTTGATGAGGCCGGCGTTGCAACTCAGGATAGTTTTCACCTTGCTCCAGATACCACCACTCCACAGCTGTAGGTTTTGTAGTTTATTGAGAAAAGGGCAAAGTCAAAACAAAGTATAAAAAATGCAAAAGTTCCATAGGCAATACAAAAGCTTAAATGCAAAGACAAAGTTCCCAAGATCCAAAGGCAAAAACATGAAGCTTAATCCCTTAGCAATGGTCAAACAAGAGTCCATGGTAAAAACAGTTGAAAACAAGGCCCAAATCCCAGACTCAGGAAGCCAGAAGCGTGCTGCTAAAAGCCAAAGTTAATCCACAGAAGTTTGCATGAGAAGAGCTACGTTGGACTGACAACCCCTGCTTGTCAGCTACAAGGCTAAATACTCTTTGCAGACATGAACACATTGCGTTGACCTTTGGCACCCTTGGCTTCTTGCTTGCTAGCCAAGCGAGTGCTTCTCTGAAGCCTTAATTGCAGACGATCTTGTCTGCTCGTTAATTCATTATCTTCAAGGCTATATAACCCCTTATCTTGGTCCAGCTGGACCGGATCACTGTGGGAAGCCAAAGACATCTCCTCCTGGCCGTGTGGGATTTCACTCTCGTTATCAGTCTCACGAACATTCCTTTCCTCTGGGAACTGACTTGCTGTTTCTCCTTCAGCAGTCCCACCGTTAGCCCTGTCTGAAGCATGTACAGAAATCTGTAACTCATCAGCCTCTTCATCATCCTGTAGGAATTCTGGCTCAGAAGGCCCACAGAGCTCAGTTTCAGACTCAGAGTCAAGCTGAGTCACAACAGCCGGAGCTTTATTTTTTTTTAATAATAATCTTTATTGGTTTTAAAATAACAAATTACAAAATTACAAAATTGGGAAACGGGGGGGGGGGGGGGAAAAGAGGACGTAGGGGAGAGGGGGGCAGGGAGGGTTGTCTAGAAACAGGAGGGAGGGAGGGACGGGGGGAGGGGGGATGCTGTAGGGAAGGAAGGAAGAAGGGCAGGCTGGGGGAAGCAGATCCTTGAGTATTGTTACTTGTTATGATCTTCTTGTGGGTGCGTAAGGTGAGTACCTTTCCTAGAATCCAGTGTGTCCCACATAGGAGACAAGACGGGCTGTCGGCCCTTGCGGGCTGAGCATTAGTGGCACTCATGAAAACCTGTAAAGTATGTACCTGGGTAATAAACTGTCTTACCCCTTGGGGACCGAGGTCCCTGGTCCAGCCCTTGGGTGGGTAGAGATGGGGGGGAATGGGAGGGGGATCTAAAAGCGACTTCCGTTTGGGTTCCTTACAGAGTGTTCTCGGTTTCTCTACCGAGGCCCAGTTTTATTTTCTTGATTTCTTTTGCACCTTGTTTTCTAAGGGTCGGTACCCCTGTGTCTCTTCTTTTTGTTTCTTCCAATCATTCATATCTCTGCCTTTCGTAGTCTTCGAATGCTGTCCAGTCTGTTAATCTGACTGGACCTCCGGAGCTTGATCTCAAAAGGAACATCAATTTGTCCATATCTTTGACTTCAGAAATTTTGTCTATCCAATCTTCGATGTTGGGAAGATGCTCATCTTTCCAGTGTCTTGCCAGGACTATTCTCGCTGCGGTGGAGATGTATGTCCATATGATGTCGTCGTTATTATTGAGATTGAAATCCTCATCCGTCAGCCCTAGTAGGAAGTACTCTGGTTTTCTGGGGAATCGTTTCTTGAGTATTTTCTGTGATTCTCCCTGGAGCTCAATCCAAAATTTTTGTACCTTAGGGCAGGTCCACCACATGTGGAAATATGTACCAGGGTGGGCCTTGCACTTCCAACATAAGTTTTGATAATTTGAATACATTTGGCTCAACTTGTACGGTGTTAGATACCAGCGGTGAAAGGTTTTCAGCCAATTTTCTTTTAACACAGAGGAGTAGGTGTATTTTAACTTCTTTCGCCATATCGACTGCCACTCATGCAGTTTTATTGGGCGGCCGATGTTTTTTGCCCAGAGAACCATACAGTTTTTTATTTCCTCGGTCTCTGTTTCCCAGGTTAGTATTTGGTTGTAGAGCTTCGTAATGGTTTTTTCCCCTGATTTCAGTATAACTTCCCAGGGCGTGGTTCTTTCTTCAAAACCTATCTTCACATCCTGTTTATACGTTTCGTATAGTTGGTAGTACTGCAACCAAGTCAGATATTTGAAGGATTTGGCCAGTTCTTCCTGTGGTTTTAGGTTCCACGAATTATCTTTTATGTTCTTGGTGAGTAGATCTCTATAGGTTGGCCACTGCTGCCATCCGAGTAAGCGCCTTTGCTTCGCCTCGAGTGGCGAGAGCCAGAGTGGGGTTTTTTCGTAGAAGTGTTTTTTGTATTTTAACCAGACTTTTAAAAGGGTAGATCTGACAAAATGGTTTCCGAAATTGCCCTCTATTTTGGCCCTGTCGTACCACAGGTACGCATGCCACCCCACCCTGAGATTGAATCCCTCCAGTGTTAGTGTATTTTCTTTTTTCAGGGTGATCCAGTCCTTTACCCAGACTAATGTGCTTTCAGGCTGGGGAGGCCGAAGCCCCCTCTTTCTTCCTTGTCAATCATTATGCGATGTTTCATCCTGGGCTTCTTGCCATTCCAAATAAACTTGGCTAGGTCTTTATTCCATTGGTCGAAAATTTTGTTGTTTCTTATTATTGGCAAGTTCTGAAATAAATAGAGGATTCTGGGCAAGATGTTCATTTTGATTAATCCTATTCTTCCTAAAAGGGAGAGATTCAGGAATTTCCATTTTGCCAAGTCTGCTCTCACCTTTTTCCATGTAGATTCATAGTTATTTGTGAGTAACTGGGCATTTTTGGCCGTAATCCATATCCCCAGGTACTTAATTTTTTTGTTGATTGCGAGGCCCGATCGTTTTTTCAGTTCTTCTTGCATGTCGGCTGAGATGTTTTTTGTTAGCAGTGTAGTTTTGTTTTTATTGATTTTAAATCCCGATACCGTTCCATATTCTTCTAATTTGTCGAGCCAGCTCCGTATGTTGTTGATAGGATCATCAATTATGCAGATAACATCGTCTGCATAGGCCCTGATCTTGTAGTCCTGTTTGGCGATTGTCATGCCCCTGATGTTCTTATCTTCTTTGATTGCTTTTAGAAGAGTTTCTAGGGCCATGATGAAGAGGAGCGGGGACAGGGGGCAGCCCTGTCTTGTACCTTTCGTGATCTTTATTGCTTTTGATAATTGTGTGTTTATCAAGAGTTTTGCCTGTTGTTTTGAGTAGATGGCGTTGATGGCATTTTTAAATGCATGTCCTATGTCTATTTCCTCCAGCAAGAGTTTCATAAATTTCCAGCTTAGGTTGTCAAAAGCTTTTTCGGCGTCCAGGGAGAGCAGGGCTAACTTTTTTTGGATGTTGAAGTCATAGTACTCTATGATGTTGATGATGGTTCTTAAGTTATCCTTCGTGCTTCTCCCTGGAAGAAAGCCGGCTTGTTCCTCTCCTATCCATTCGGATAGGAATCCTTTTAGTCTCTTTGCGAGGATTGTTGCGAAGATTTTGTAATCCGTGTTCAATAAAGATATCGGTCGGTAGTTCTGTTTGTCCGACTGTTCTGTGTTTCCTTTCCTAATTAGGACGATCTCTGCCTCTTTCCAGGTTTCTGGGATCTGGCCCTCACTCAAAGCTAGGTTCAGTACTTTTTGGAGATAGGGTGCGAGTTCTTCCTTCAGAGTCTTGTAAAAGCAGGCCGAAAAGCCATCAGGGCCTGGAGCTTTGTTGGCTGGCATATTTGCTATCGCTTCTGTGATTTCCTGAATTGAAATCTTTCTATTTAAGGCCTCTCTCTGTGATTCTGTGATCTTTTCTAGCTTCAGCTTCGCTATATAGCTTGTGATTTCTGTTTCTTGAGTGTCGTCTTTGTTGTAGAGGGTTGCATAGTATTCTCGGAAATCTTCAATTATATCTTTGTCCTTCGTTAGGTAGCACTCTCCTTTCTTGATTTTCGTTATTCGCTGTGCTTCTTTTTTCTTCCTTACTTTCCTTGCCATCCATTTCCCGGGCTTGTTGGCGTGTTCAAATTCTTGTTGCTTAATATATTTGTATTTTTTTTCCAGGGATTCGATCTCTAGATGGTGTTTCCTTTTTTTTAGCCAGCTCAAGTTCCTTTCTATTTTTATATTTTCCGGGTTTCTTTTTAGTTCTTGTTCTTGTTCCGTGATCCTTTTTTCCAGTTGTTTTATATCCAGATTTTTCTTTTTATTTTTGATGGCATTTTGCTGAATTAAGTACCCCCTCATTACCGCTTTAAGTGTGTCCCATACTACTAGCGGGGAGATGTCGGGTGTGTCGTTTTGTTCAAAGTAGTCCCTTATCAGTTCTTTATTTTTCTTTATATCGCATTCCGTTTTGAGAAGATTGTCGT